TTATATAATACAATAATATAAGTATTAAAATACTCCATCAATATATACCCACAGTATATAATTTTGTTTTACAAGTTAAATTGAGATAAACTTATTGTAACGTTTGAGCTAAATATTTAACAAAGTGGAGCTATAAGAAAGATCGTAGTCATTAAAACGTGTTTGTCGTCAATCTCAAGTTTGTAGAGTCTAATTTTAATATAAATCTATGAGCAAATGTTGTTTTGGTTCCAGGTTCTTAGAAAACGAACCAATATACCAGCAATCTGATCGGTCAGTCACTAAAATTGAGTTTATAGATTAACTAATCATATGGAATGACTATGTTTTATAATGTTGATTGTAGGTCTATCTTAGTTATGTTTTTAAGAAACAATTTTCATTTAATTTATTTTATAACTTACCTGAGAACAGAATCAAAACAGAATGAGTTTTCTTCACAAATATAATATAGTTGTATCAAAAACTAAGGTTTATCTTGATGTATCCAAACAAGACAATGATCACTAGAGGTGACAATCGACATGACGTCATGGCAACAATAACGTTACGTTATACTATAAAATTGGTACAAAATAATAATAATAATAATAATTTTAACGTTACGATACTTTGGTTTGGTCAATAATTGAAAGGTACCAACCCCATTGTGGTAGAATTTTTTTATTTGCAATCAACAGAAGAGTATGAAATAGTATTGAATCCATTTGAAAATCACGAAACTTAAAAATTAAACGACCGTAGATGTTTCTGAGTTTGAAATAATGTAAGATTTAGATGTTCTTTACTCTCTGGCTTTTCATTTATTTTAATTGTGAAAAACACCGACATATTTGCTCCCATGACTCGAGTCCATAGGTTGGAATCAAACTTGATATTCTCGAGTATTTTGCAAACCTATTAATCATTCATTAAATACCATCATTATAATTCAACACTTTTTATCATTCATCTTCTATTATCTATCATCAATGCATATTCATTCATGATTTTAATCACCATTTATTCACCACGTCCGTCATCATTCATCACCGCCATTGTATTATCATTACAATCATGATCCTCCCGCAAGGAAATTTAAGTTTAGGTTTAATTTGTTTTTTCGTGTCAATCTTCTTTAAAGAAAAAGCAATACAGCTCTTATATTATTTATACAAAACTCATTTCATTTTTTATAGACTGATATATATCCTTTTTTATTATGAGAAAATCGTTTATTTTTTATTTTGGTTTTGTTTTTTCTGTCATTAAACCAATAGTTTTTATTTCTGAAACTCAGTTAAGGTGATATATTTTTTAATCTAATAAAATCTAAGTGATCTTTGGACAGATAAAGAGGTGATATCTGTAAGATATTTACCATTCCAGATGATATTTTTATGATTATTCTCTTGTCTTCCTCCTATATCTTCCTATTTAGGGAGGAATCTTCTTAATCAAACCAATGGAGAAG